AAAACCAACTTTTTGATTCGTTGATCTTTTGTATTGTTTTTTGGTTTTCAATTTCATTAATGTGGGAAATTTTTTAGCCACAAACCCTACCTCATTCAACACCAGACAGTTCACACTGGAGAAAGGCCTTACGAGTGCAGTGAATGTGGAAAATCCTTTAGGCAAAGGTCCAACCTCTTCCAACACAGGAGAGCTCATGTGCAGTGAATGTGGGAAATTCTTTAGCCACATATCTTTCCTCATTTAATACTGAAGAGTTCACACAGGAGAAAGGCCTTAGATATGCAGGGAATGAGCTTTTTCATTACTCAGTAGAATGACCTTGGAGGAAAGTCTAGGTGAGGAGCATTCTGCCTGAATTGAACCTCATATATCCTTACATGCACAGATTCCCCATAAGTTTCAGGTATGTGGGAAGCATGTGTAGCTATGGTGTGTTTTCTTTCTTTCTTTTTTTTTTTTTTAAAGATGACTGGTAAGGGAATCTTAACCCTTGACTTGGTGTCGTCAGTACCACACTCTCCCAAGTGAACTAATCGGCCATCCCTATATAGCAGTCCGAACCCATGGCCTTGGTGTTATCAGCACCATACTCTCCCGAGTGAGCCACAGGCTGGCCCAAGCTATGGTGTATGTTCTGAAATTGCCCAGGGATCTGCCAGATTTAAAGTCATTGCCAATTTCTGTAGCTAAAGCCATTTCCTCTCAACCAACTGGCACATGCGCAGAGTATGTATGAGTCACCACCCCAGTGTTCTTAGGGTAGCAGACCTCTTCCATTTGTTGGAGGGAATTATGAGTAACCTGAGGTCTTAGAGGATTCCTATTCTTTTCTCTTTGACTAGTTAGAGTGTGGATTTAACGCACTTCTGTCCAGAAGACCTGATCCAAGTTCTGCTGGTTGCTTGCAGAGAAGGACTGCCTTCTTGTTGGTTGGTCTTAGGTGATCTTAGGTGATGGTTGTGATGAAGTTTTTTCAGCTTCTAGGTCACCAAACCAGGAAATACCTATTGGACATTGCACTGTCTGGCTTGTGCAATAATAAAGACCTTTTTATTTAAATACCTTTAATCTAGGAAGTTTGATTTACTGTGGAGTACTTTGAAAGTATAATAGGACTTTGCCAGCTTGAAGAGGTAAATAACATCTGTGGTGACACAAACTGTGTGCCTCAGAGGGATGGTAATGACCCAAGTTACCTCTTGTTCCAGTTTTGACCTAGTTTGCATTGCTGTCAAGTTGTCCTTGGAGAGTCTACAGGGTTTTGTGTTAATTTTTTGCCTGAATAGCAGAGGTCTGTGGGTTCAGACATCAATATGAGGAGGGGGCATTTGTTCAGATAACTTCTGTTGCTTTAGAGATGACATGAATTTTTTTTTCTTCTTTTTTAATGAGGGAGAATTCATAATGCACAGCAATGTTGAGAATCTCTTACTCAGATCCTGCAAAGGAGCTGTGTGCCCTAAAACCTAGAATTCAGAGGAGTAGTGTCACTAGGTGTAAAACTACAGGGGCCAGGGGAACCATGAATGGTACAGAGATATTGGGTTCATTAATAGGTAGTGGAGCCTGCAGCAAGCTAGATAGCATGTTCTTCTAAAGATGTATATACAAATGTTCCAGTGACTGTGACTGCAGGATCATTGTGTACAAAAGTCTCATTGACTCCCAGAACTGTGTATCTTGTGTAGCTGAAGTCACTGTCTGGGAAAATAAGGGTTTTATGGATTCCTATAGCCTCTCTGTTTGCCTGAAGGCCATTGCTACACAGACAGTAAATGAAGTATGAGGAGAAGGTAGTATCCAGGGATACCGCTTTTGTGATCCAGCCAACAATCCTCTTAACTCTGGTGAAAATGACCTTCATCATTCACCTACATTCCTGCCACTTAGGCAAGATTGCTTTTCCCCATACATGGGGAGTTAGATGGTAAAGTCAATAAAGAGTTGCCAAGTCTGATTTTCTACAGACAAGAGATTTAGATTGTTATCTTGAGCCATTTTTTTTAGTTTTATTAAGGTATAATTGATATGCAATAAATTGTACATACTTAAAAGTGTACCATTTTGATACATTTTGACATAAGTGTAAATCCATGAAACCAATATTGTAATTATAATAATGAGCATATGTCACCGGCAAATTTTCTTTGTTTCTTTTTATAATATCCCTCTTTGATAATCTAACCCCCCATTTGATTTACTTTCCTTTACGATAGGTTGGTTTGCATTTTCTAGAATTTTATCATTGGAATCATAAGGCATTCACTCTTTTTTTTCTTCATTTCATCCACACTGCATAATCAGAGAATCATAAATGATGCTTATATGAAGAGTTCATTCTTATTTCTGAGGAGCATTTTCTTCTATGGATGTATGACTCTTTGTTTATTCTGTTCATCTGTTTATGCACATTTGGGTTATTTCCAGTGTTTGGCTATTACAAATAAAGCTGCTACAAACATTTGTTATACAACTCTTTAAATGGATATTTGTTCTGTTTTGCTTGTATTAATAACTCAGAATGCAATGCCTGAGTCATGGGGTAGGTGAATATTTAACTTTTAAGAAAAAATAAAAAATAAAATTAAAAAATTAAAAAAAAGAAAGAAAATGCCATACTGTGACCTAAAGTTGTTCTTTTTGCATTCCCACCAGGAATGTGTGTTTCAATTTGTTCACATCTTTGCCAGTACTTGGTAGGGATAGTTTTTAATTATTACCCTTTTAAATTATTTTAATTATAATTTACATAATTATAATTAAGTATGTAGTGGTATCTCACGGTGGTTTTAATTGCATTTACTGAAGGATCCATCACGTTGAGCATTTTTTTTTTCATGTGTTTATTGGCCACTTGTATATCTTTAGTAAGATGTGTATCTGTTTTATGTTGTTTGCTTGTTTTATTGTGGTGAGTTCCCTTTCAGTAATAGATAGACAATGAACAAACACAGTGGAATTTTATTCATTCAGTGATGTTACTTCCATTGCTTTGGAATGCTGGAATATTTCCTTGTTTCTTCTCAATTTTTGTATTGGGGTATACAGAATGTAATGGCCACCTATACTATACACTGTTACGTTTCATCAGCATTGCTAACATTCTCTCATTTTTCTAAGTGTAAACATTCAGCAATACAATAAATTAAGCCCTAGTTTGTAGTGTGTGCCAATTTCTTTTGTGTAAATAATTCCACCATGGCCAATTTCAAGCTGGAAATTATGTCTGAACATGGAGTAGGGAAGAGTTGCCAGTAGTACACCTTTGTATTTTCACTATACTGATACAGTAGCTGCAAATAATCTTGAGAACAGAGATAATACTAAAACATAGCAAAATGATTAAGAAATGACAATGTTTGAGTATTTGTAACTTACACAGTTTAACTGCTGTATAATTGACTTAAACTGCACATATTAAAAATGTACATTTTGTTGTCTTGATACATGAAAATAAGTTTTCTTCTGTCCTTTTAAAGTCATCCTTTTCAACATATAAAATTACTGATACGAGGACAAATTTTCCCCTTTGTAATGGCTGTTTTCAAATAGAAAAAGTGAAAAAAAACTTTTCTAAGTCCCATGAACTCTTTCTCAGTTTTCCATTATTATTTACAGTTGTTCTTGTTTCATCTATCTCCATGCACATTAGTGGGCTACTTTACTTATAAACCCAGACATAATGGGTAATTTCTTGAAAATGATTTTCTAAAATGTAAGAGCTTTTCATAATGATAACATTCTTACATGGAATGACAATATTTCAAAATATAAATGTGTTATCAGTGCTAGATTTAATTAATTTTTACAAAAATGTGTTTGTTCTTTAAGGCAGACATTGCCATCAGGATACAAAATATATTCTTATGGCTTTTAGTACCTGTGTATTGTAAATTCATTAACCTATAGGTACCACTTCCCACTTTTTATCATTTAGTAGTTGAAGTGTGTACATTACAATTTGCAGCATTCTAGATTTAGCTAATTGCATCTTTCATCTTGTTTAACATGCTGATCCTTCTTCCACATCTCCTGTACAATGGATACTGAGGTGGGTGATTGAGGTCTGGTCCCTGCCAACAGGTGTGTGACAGTGAGAACCTGGAAACACAGTGTAAATGTTTTGTCAGCACACAGCAGCACAACCTGGAAACACATTCAGGAATCAGATATGACAGGTGTGCAGTGATGACACCAGCACAGCCTGGAAACATCTGCATGCATATCTAGGGGAACTGTGTTACAGATGTGATAGTGACACACCCCAGGACATCCTGGTGACACTTTACGGAAACCTTAGGGACACAGTATGACGGGAGTGGGATGCTGGCACTCCAACACAGCCTGGACACAAATATGCATATATTCACACCACAAGGTAAAAGGTGTATGACAGGCATGAGTCACACAAAACTGGCATATGTAAAACACACCAAGGGTCCGAGAAATAGAAGTAAGGTATTGACACACTACAGCATGCTGTGGACACAAATACACAAACATGGAGACTTGTGGGACAAACATGTAAAAGGGACAGCACACAGCCTGGTGTGTGAGCCCTGTGTGTGGTGAGTTCCTGTGGACTAAGTGTGATGAGGTGGGTGCAGCCTGGTTTGAGGAGAACAGCTCCCTACCCTCATCACTGCAGGTCTGATAATATGCCGAAGGGGCTTGGAAGAGAGCAACACAATCTTGGTAAAAAGGTCCCTGGTGCCTTCAAAATCATCTCTTCTTTCCTAAGGCCTTCGTCCAGCTCCTCCATTCAGATGGAAAATGACTTCAGAGGGCTTGTAGGCACATCATCAAATGGCATGGGTCAACATCCTGAGAGAGCTGATCCCTTTAAGGCCTTCGTCCAGCTCCTCCATTCAGATGGAAAATGACTTCAGAGGGCTTGTAGGCACAACATCAAATGGCATGGGTCAACATCCTGAGAGAGCTGATCCCTTCCCTCCTGATTGTTGTCAGGACAAAGTATTTAGTTTACTTCTGGGGGCCTAATGCCCCCATAACTCTTCCTAATTTCTCTTTTCAACAGTGGGAGCAGTCCCTGCCTTATAGCCTTGACAGCATGTCATATGAGCTTGCTGGGACTTAATGCCATTATTTTGATTTTATTGTTCTATTTTTATTATAAACTGTCATTTATGGCAAGGAAAACTGTTATGTCTATTTACCAGATAATGTAAGCTTACTTATTAGAATAGAAAAATTGAAGAAAAATAAAATGTATGTCTCTTTAAAGAGAAAGAATTAGAAAA